GCAGGACAAAGTCATATGTTCCACAAATGTTGTCAGCGGTATAACATGAGGGTGATGAAAAAGAAGGCAAGGGGAAGAGGAGAAGCAGGACGGACAGTGTTCATAACTGGCGAAGTTTACTCATTTGTGATGGACCGATCCGAGTATGACTTTTTAGACTCATTCACTTTTATCAGGCCAATTTCTAAGCAAGTATACCTCATCAAATTAAAGAAAACAAACCAGTTTGGTGTTGAATGAAGTATTGTATGAATGGAAAGAATTTAAAGGAGCTGGAAGTTCAGAATTATGCGTATTTCTTTAATTTGTTAAGGGAAATACAGCGTTCAAGTGATAACTAGCTTTTCCTCGTCAAAAGTATTACTTACTTATTTACTTACGCCTGTTACTCCTCGTGAAGGAGCATAGGCCGCTCACCAGCATTCTCCATCCAACCCTGTCCTGGGCAATCCTTTCTAGCTCCGTCCAGTTGTAATTCATCGTTTTCATATCTGCTTCTATTATCCGACGCAATGTGTTCTTTGGCCTTCCTCTTTTTCGCTTCCCTTCAGGATTCCAATTTAGGGTCGTTTTTATTGTTGTGACTTTTGTAAAGTCATGAGTGAACTCATATCTAGCGTGATTGGTCAGTCTCGCTTGCAATAGTATCTCCCGGTAGGAAGTGAAAACATCTAACGGCCACAGGTACGCGTCTGAGAAGCGTTTAGCATAAGAAATCGACGTCAATACCATTGATTCGTGACATCCTATTTGACTATAAGGATTCGTAATTAAACAAAGTGTTCTGTCCTATTTTTCGTAAGCTTTGTACGCGATTTGTCAGGGAAGGATAGGATTACATTACCGTGTTGATAAGAATACCCATTTGTTACGGTTGGTTTGGTCACTGAATAAGCAATTATTAGTTGAATAACTGATTGGTAATATTTTTTAGAACATTCGTTCGTCTAACTACTCTATTTTTGTTTTGACTGAGCAAAAGTGCATTTTTAAGTTCACCTTAACTGTTATTACTCATTCCAGACTCCGTTTGTGTAAAAACTACGATGATGTAAATACTAAAACTGAATTTTTAAGTCACTGGTGTAAACTATTTCCGGTAGGTAGTTGCTTGACAAGTGATTTGACTTTCGATAAGACGTCGAAACTGTGCATCGTTAGGCATAAACGTTTCATAATCTGAGTGACTACGAACTCGTCTCGTCTTTATCTTATTTCACCCATTTATTTACGCCCTATATGCATCATTCTACAACATTTCCTTAATGATGGCAACAGTGTGCATCTTGAATAATCACCCCAGACTCATTTCTGTTTCTGAACATATAAGTGTAAACAACAGATTTTTGACTTAACTCAGGATTGTCAATATTCACCTTGCACTGTATGCAGACCGACTACGTACTTGGTACGGAGAATGAGCTTACGTTTAATCATGAAAGTAACATACGGTGATCATCAGTAGTATGAAACTTGGAGAGTTCGGCAATTACAACCAGAAGTGTTAGCGAAAATTATTTGATCCGTTGCAGTTGTGAAATGTGAAAAGGAACTGCATACTGTTTGTCCAAATACATACCAAATCTTGTGCTTTTAGTAGCCCGTTTGATCTGACTCCACTTAGATCGTATGAATGTTTGTTATCACCTATTCTCGTATATAATGGTCGACTTAATCGCGTTAGCCAATAAAGGAATTAAATAAGTCGAATAACGAGAATTGATTTGTGAATAAATATATTTTGTATATGAAGTAAATGAAACGGAACCAAGCAAAATGACACGCAGGGAAGATGGCTGGGAAGCCAACTCCATTTTAATCAAGCGTTACTCAATATTTATAGACAGACAAAATGAAGCTACAGACATGTGATGAGTCATGGGACATGAAGTGTTCACACATATACGTACATATAAAAAACAGTCAAGATTGATAAGCGAATAATTGACAAGGTCAAAATATGACCCAAGTAGAATGAATAAAATGAAATGTCCGAAAACTAGAATATAAGATATATGGGCTTAAAATAATGACTGACACTACATGCTATTACGGATAGCCAAATATTCATTTTAGATTGTCTGTCATCGAAACCAGGATGGATATACTTTCCAGTTATCTTAAACTCACCAAAGTGTTGTAGCGTGGCGTCGAGTCTCAGTTGACTATGAACACCGCTACCAATAAACATGTGCCAAATAAATCAGAAAGCGGATTGAATGAAGTTTATTCAATTGGCGATCTCGTGATATCGAACGAATACCAAGATCGTGCCAAGAAATGGTACAAGCGAAAGCAAGAGAACGGAGTAGGTGCGAACATAGCCAAAACCGCGGAACAAAGATGGAAGGTAATGGAAGCACAAAATGGCTGTAATTAGCACAATCAAACAAAAGCACATTAAAACAAGCACTGGTACAGTTGGTTATAATAATAATTCATTATATGTGAAAATCATATTTGAAATATTCAATCGTTGAGAATATTTCAAATATAATTTCCACATATAATGACCTCTCTATACTCGGCGCTCAATTACTGTCAAACTATTCGTTCTAATCTTGACGAATATTCGTATACATAATAATAATTGTTTTCATTAAACCAATCATGTTCTCGTGATAAAAGTGAGTCACTACAGTTTAAAGTAATCCATCTGAGACATTGCAAATCACAAATACAAATTAGGTAATTCCCCTCTAAAATAATATCAAGTTGAATAAGATTTAAGAGCGTTGGTACCCAGTGATCTGAAGTTTTACTCTAACCGCATCAAGAATGCCTCTCGAGTAATCCTTGCACCGCAACATCGAAGCTCATTTTTGGTCAACCCAACGGTAAAACTTCCGACCCAACCTTGAACAGTTTCATATGATCTCATTTGGAGTATGAAAATAGAATGTCTTCTTTCCCACTCCAAAAGGAAAAGAGTATATTGAAACATATAGAAACTCAAGCCACAAAATAATTTCAGGGACTCAAATCCAAGCCTTATGAAGAGCGCCTCATATCGCTAAAACTTTGAGCAATGAGGTGAATTATGGACCTACAGAATGCCTAACACTCCTAAACATTCTCTCAAATACCTAATTAAGCTCAGTCCCAACAAAAGCCTTGGGAGTAACACCCAGAAACAGGAAACAACATAGCAGGATAGACTATGGTCACACTTCCTACTCCCCAAAAGTAGTCGAATGCTCGAGTCCTCTTTCCGCTGAGCCAGTCTAAGAGACTCTTCAAGAGTCTTTTATGAGAAAACTCTACACATTCATAAGGACTAAGGACAAAATCTCATTATGATTTACCAATAAGTTTTTTCTCTTTAATAATTAAATATACTTATGTTCCTACCTACCGACACAGATGATCCACTATTATAAGATACTAAAGCCAACTAAGCGAAAGCTTCTTCTATTCCATTCAGAACAATTTGGAACCATGTAAAAGACCGGGAAATGTCAAACTTGCGGTACGTCCGTTTGATTGTAAGGTTTGGGATATATCAGTCAGTTCCTGTATTTATGGATATTGTGACTTGTAATTTAGTCTATATTTGCATATGTTTTTCTCAAATGGACACGTTAAATGAACTAGTGGGGTCCCCCAGGGCTCAGTACTAGGGCCTCTTCTCTTCTTGATCTACATAAATGATCTTCCTCAACAGGTAACGTCAGACTTATCACTTTTTGCCGACGACGTGAAACTTTGGAGCGAGATACGCAACCAAGACGATATACAGGCACTTCAGGAGGATCTGACTCGACTTCAAAGTTGGGCAGACGATAACGGACTTACCTTTAACACTTCGAAGTGTAAAGTAGTCTATCTGCGACATGTTGCAAACTACAGTTACAACTTAGGAAACTCCTCTCTAGTAGTATCTCAAGTCGAAAAAGATTTAGGAGTCCTGGTGCCCCATGATTTAAAGTCTTACGCTAACTGTGACAAAAATGCCTTCCGAGCAAACCTTGCACTGGTAACGTTGAAGCGCATTTTTGGACAGTTTGACGGACGAACTTTCCATACAATCTTCAATAGTTTTATCCGTCTCTATTTAGAGTACGGAAACATAGTACTCCCTCCCTCACTCCAAAAGGACAAGGTCACTTTGGAGCGTATCCAACGGCGAGCCACGAAATCAGTTCGAGGACTCAAATCTAAACCTTACGAAGAACGCCTCCATTCACTAGACCTTTACCCATTAGAGTATAGGCGTCTTAGAGGTGATTTATTAATGGCTTATAGCATTCTTAACACTTCTGGACATCCTCTTAAACACCTACTTAAGCTTAGTTCGAATAATAACCTAAGGGGTAACACCCAGAAACTGGAAACACAACATAGCAAGACGGAATGTAGACACAACTTCTACTCCTTAAGAGTTGTCAAAATCTGGAATTCGCTGCCAGCCGAGCTAGTCCAATCGACTTCTCAGGAGTCCTTCAAGAGGCAACTTGACCTATTCTTAAGGACCAAGGACAGCATCACACTATGATTTACCAATTTCTTTTCCTGTTTTATTGTTAACATGCCTAGGTTCCTGCCTAAAGGATTTGGTGATCCCCTGCTACTAGACACGGAAACCTGTTAAGCGAAAGCTTCTTCTATTCCGTCCACAACCATTTGAACCATTTGAACGTTTTCTGACTTTTGGAGCGTCTCTAATATGTTCGTGAATGCTAGCACCACCGCAGTCCAATTGCGCCTCACGTTCTGTATAATCGCTACATCGGCCACTGGAACTTCGACCATGTAATATAGTCGTAACTTGGATTTATAGTAAAAGTAGCTAGTATGGTACTTCACACACGGAAGTAAAGTAATTACATTACTTCAAGTTTAAGGATTGAATTGAATGTAGTTTAAATTTAGCTGAGGTACTAAGGTCATAGAAACAACTTTTTTTTTAACTTTATCAGAAATTCGAATCATGGGTTTACTTGCAATTGTCCTTTTGTTTTTCTATTTCAGACAGTAAGAACGGCTTTCGTCAACTTGCAATGGTTTGTTCGCCTGGTTCCCAAAGATCTGTAAGCCGAAGTACAGCTCGTACCCATAGCGCAAGCCGAAGTCGATCTAGGAGTGGCAGTATTCGGCGAAGTTATACACATTCGAATCGTAGTCGATCAGGAACCAGATCATTTTCCAGACGCAGTTCCCATTCACGTCGGAGTACTAGGTCAAAAAGTCACTCCAATTATTCTCGTTCACATTCTGGCAGTCGACGTTCCAGATCATGGTCTAGATCACGTTCACGCTCTCATGGTCGGTCCGCTTACTCGTCACGTTCACGTTCTGCTAGTCGTTCCAGATCAAGATCTTATCGTAGTCGGAGAAAGTCGTTTTTTAGAAGTAGAACAAGAAGTTGTTCTTATCACTCAGTTCGTTCACGATCACACAGCCCCAATTCAAGAAACGTTTCGCCAAGCGCCAAATGTGTCAAAGATCCGAGGGATCGTTCTAAGCGTGCACATTGGACAAATAATGTAATTATCTATTGAATTTTTCTATTTGTTAACATCGAAATTATTTCAATTAACTTTTGACGTCATGATGCTATTCAAGCTTTTGTTTCTATTGTATAATTTTTTCTTGAATAACTACTGTAATTGTACTACTACTAGTAACTCTGTGTATCCTACACACGTGCTTAGAGCCTGTTTGGTGAATCGCATAGATTAATGTAGTACAATGAAATCCTGAATAGATATTTTTCGAAAAGATTTTCACCAGTGTTGGATTGGGAAAGTGGATTCATTTTATTTGACATGAATCTTTGAGAAAATCCCTGTGTTGTTTCAATATGATATGTAAATTAAGGGTCATATATTTTTTGTGGGCATTCAACCATCCAATAGGGATATAACAGGTTTTAGAAGACTGAACGACTAGACAAAGGCATGAAATGTCTGTGAAGTCATTAACTTTTAGATTAATCCCTGTCGGTAAGTGCAGACAAATTTGTTGGGGTCGCAGCGATCATCGTAATCAGTGCTTAAATCATATTCTTAATGCATAATCTTTTCTACTACCGTTGGTATTGTCATTACTTTTACTACCCTGTGATTGTTTATTGATTTCATCTCACTGCTAATATAATGTCTCAACATGAATCGGTGCAAATATGTCCCAGTTTCTGTTCCTTATAACTGACTAATTAATTTGGCTGTCATTCTTAACTTTCCGTTGTCATTAACTATTCTGTCACCATATTTCTCATGTCTAGGTCTCCACTACAGTTGACATTCATATTATCTCATCTTTGTTCCCCATCTTGTTAATTTCGCCTATCGTTACGCTGACGTAAGGTGCGAAATATGGATGGAACCTATGCACGTTCGTACCAGATCCTACGTTCACTATGGCTATCTGCTGAACTATATATATTGATGGTGCATGTGAAACTAGTGTTATCCGCAAATCTCATATTAGGACCATGACGACTAGATTCCAGATTGGCTTTGTTGCTTGACCTGTTTTTTTCGTCACTCATCAGCTAGGTCTCCAGTGGTACCATAGACTTACGAATCACATCTCAATAATATGTCGATCCAAAACGTTCAGTATCATTGCATTGTAAAAGATATCAGGATAAAAAGAATCTGTTAGCCTGAGGGATTTCTGAAAATTTGTCTCCATAAATATTTCGTGCTATTAATCATAATGATAATCAAGTTCCCACTAGTGAATAGCTTTTTAATGGGTCCTTTGAATTCCAGTAAGAAATTGTAGCTAGTATAGTTGAATTTGAGACATCTCACTGATAACAGTGAGTAATGATCATATAGTATCGCAAATTGATTGGATTTGGAAATGTGGTACATTGAGTTTCAGGTAAGCGATTTGAAGCTAATCTGGAATACTCAATTCACAATGGAATCAAGGGTGGATACTTCCATGGATTCCTAGGATCATGCTGACATCAGTTACTCTCTGGTTTTCGATGACTCTCTAGTTAGAGAATCTGTCCTGTTTATTTCTTTCACCCGTTTTCTATTTTTCTTTCTTACGAAATAGGTTTGGTTAGTTGGTGAAAAAGCAAAGGATACAGTTTTTCATTTCTGTGATATTTGTGATTTACCAATTGTAATCTATGGACGTTTGGTAGGTGGGTCTATTTTGTCAATAATGTGCTTTTTTCTCCAAAATAGCTACCTTGTAAGCATGTATTGTGTTATACATGTGCTATGAATCTTATGAAGAAATGTAATAGGTGAGTTGATTTGCGCTTATGTCTGTCCTTCACATACGTCGGTAGTTTTTTAAATTCTTTTGACTAACAAGTGTAAGTAAACACAGGCTTTCAGATATTGTTTTGGCTATTTATGAAGCAGAGCAGGTAGATCATTTTCCTCATAATTATACAATATCATATTTATATGTTAGCTGGGGTACTACTTAAGGGCCTAATCAGAGGCCGAGTGTTTTATTATGCGACTGTTCTCCCATTCGTATTACCGCTGTCACACAAAATGTTGGCTGAGGTAATATACGGAGTTAAATAGAAGATTTATGCTCATAGCATTTTCGCACGGTCAAATCGGATAGAGATCACGGCACCGCAAAATCTCTTAACTAATCTTACCAGTAGTGTTTAAGTAGAAAGCTTTCACATGGTTTATATACTCCATTGATCGGTCACAATGATAACTATTCAATGAGTAATTAATCTAGTTATTTCTATTTATCTATACAGTGCATTCTTAGTAATTTAATGTGTATATTTCTCTCATTAGATGTCAAAAGTCTATACAAACTGTGGAACGATGTTTAGTCGGAGGAATATTCATGTGCTTCGAAAGTGATGGTTGCCGGCGTACTTATCTCAGTCATCGTGATCTTCAAGCCCATATTGACCATCGACATCGTACTGGGTCAACTGTAATTACTTCAGTCGCTAATAATAGCAGTAGTAATAATGTAAATAGTACGATGATAACTAAAAACGATATTGTCACACATTCAGAAATAATTACACCTTTGCCAAACCAAGTCAATTTTACGGAAGAAGCGTCTCTACTTTCCGGCGTTGTAAAAACTATAACAACAAATGCTAATCAAGTGACTACACCTTTATCCATAGATAAGACAACGACTGGTGCGCCTCCTCCAATGTCTTTGTTAGGTCCATCACCAAGGTTAGTTATGAATACGATGATTCCACCAACTTGTGGAACAACTCAACCGAATATTTATATTAATAATCAGAAAAACAGTGGTCTTTTACCATTACCGCCTGCACAGACTTCATCCTCAACAATTTTTTCAAATCGACTTCCTATGGGGATACCTCGACCGCTTAGACTAAACAACCTGAATAGTAGTTGTAGTACTACTACTAACAATAATAATAACAGTAATAACACTGTTACTAATAATTTTCCTCAACTTCAGCAGTTCACAAACTGTCCTCCGCCTACACTTCCACCTCCACCATCTATCGGGGCACCGAATATTCGTGCGCCACCACCAGGACCACTACAACAAGCACCACCACCGTCTGCATTTCTTGCTAATTCACTTTCCATTCCGTCATCGTCGTCTACACAGCATAATCAGAACTTTAGTGGTGCTTCAGCTGTTGCTGCTTTAGCTGCTGTTGTCTCAGCGGCGATGTCAGCAGCAGCAGCTGTCCAGTCGAAATCTGCTGGAATGACAGTAGTTGGTGGTACAAATAATCTATCTGGAGCAACGATTCAACAATCTTTGACTAGTAATCAAATGCAGGTAATTATGTATAAATATTTTATTCGTTCATTTTACTAATCACTTATTTTGACCGATATCGTCGTTTGTCGGTTGAATTCATATGAGATTGAACTCATTTAGAGTCGTATTGAAAATTAGCGAACCAACTATTTCGTCCTAGTATTCGCCTCCTTGGAAGCACGGACTCATGATATCACCAGGGATGATAAACAGGACCTACAGGTTTCATGGCTAACACTTAGCGACTAAAATACGACCTACATTTCAACCAGTCTACATACAATCCACTGAGCCATTGTCTTCATTATATTTAGTGGTAATTTTCATAATAAACTGGGGTTGGGCGTAAAAATAACATTGAAAATGACAGGGAAGGTGTTTCTTTTAAGTCCAGGATGTTTTTACGCATTTGACCTTAATCATAGTTAAACCAGAAACTTCGCTCTTATCTAGTCTTTTAATGAAATTCAGCCTTTGAAAAATGAAGATATTTGTTCAGTGCTAGTATTTAAATAGCAGATATATTTTCGAAGCATTATTTGGCTATGATGTAATGTTGAAGCGATAGGCTAGATAGTGAATATTGATTATCGGTTAGTTGATGAAGCTGTGAAATTCCATCGACATAAGTTATTGGCCATAAGTAGCATATATAACAATTGTTCTTTTTTAAGGTAAATACGACCAATTAATTTTCTTTCTCCACACAATCTCAGTAACACGGAAGGATTTTTACTTTCAGGAGTGCTGTTGTCTTGTTATTGTCAATAGGGAATTATTTTCAAGGGAGTTGAATTTGCTAGTTAAGAAAACTGGGTAAAGGATCAGCTGAAACAGTTTATAAACTATAAATTTTACATAAATAGACTGTAGTGTATAAGGTTAGGGTTACTTGTAGATCATCAAAGAGAAGGGTTACATTATTCAATGTAAAGATATTGAATATTAGATCGAATGTCATTGATATCTGCTTATTGATGATTAAAAAGTATTTAGTTCTCACCTAGTAGATTACAATTTTGTACGCTGTTCCGCCCACTTTAATTTGACCAGCCCTCAAGTAACTAAAGTGTGATCCAAACCCAAGTTCTTGGTAAACTTATAAAGCCAACTCAATTGAAATTAAAGCAGTAATTCTCGCATAACATTGGATAATGATCACATCAACTACGTGCTGACAGAATTGAAAAATATGAAGCAATAAATTCCCTTACTTTGTAATATAAATGAGTTATGGCTTATTTTAGATCTACTAATCATCAGCTCTGCCCACTATGATAAGATCATAAGTGTACGTTGGTCAGAAGCAGTAAACAAGGATGGAACATTTGTTCAGTTTTTTTAGTTTGACCATTATTAATGATCATGACAATATCCGTAACTTTATTCATTTGCCTAGACTTTCGAATTTATATGGTTAATATTTCATGTAATTCATGTATCTCCTGATATATATTTTCTAAATACTTTGCCTAGCCACCTAATCCATTGAATGCCTCATCATTAATTACAAATGCACTTCGAGCTACTAACCCCAATTGGAATCCATTGGCTACTGGTGTATCGAATGTATTGAATAACAGTAACAATAATAGTAATAATAATGCAAATAATAATAATAATCAGAATAACTTTAACTCAAGATGTTTACCATTTCAATAAGGAAATGTGCTTGTATACATTTGACTGTTACATTAATCAACTTTTTTTATTATCTCAATGTAACTTTGTAACACAATTTTCAATATTTTTTGTTTAATATAAGACAAACTACTGTGAGTAGTCAAGATTTTTTATCACAATTATTGTTTCCCATCAAGGTTTTATGAACTATTGGCTAGTTCATTTGTCTTAATAGATTCTTGTGCCATATGGAAGTATACCCTAGATGACTATATTTCTGTTTGTTCAGGATTTGCTTAGTGTTTACAAGTAAGGAGGTATGGGACGACTAATTCAACCTGTCTAGTCTTAGGAGGGAGAAAACAATGTCACTACATTTGTGTTATGAAGTTGTAATTGGATTTGTCTAGTCAAATCCCAATAAAAAAGTAATATGTTACACGGAGATGTTAGTCCATTTGACTTGTACTTATCTTTTCGTCGTTAATTTGAATACAGTTTACGTACTTGGCTTCAAGTTACAGAAACTGAATTAAGTTGAGTGGGGTTCGAACCCGAGATCTTTGGTTAGAAGCAAAGTGGCTATGTGAATTCAAGTAGACTACTATTTATCACCAGCTGTAAAAGTACCTGGGAATTTAAAGAATTAGGATCACTCTTTTCATAAAGAAAACCATGAAATACATACGACTCTGAAGTAGTTATAATGGAATAATCAATACTGGGATTCAGGTATGTTCAACTGATGAGTCCCAGATTTGACATCATTGTCATTTCGGTATGTACTGCTAGCTTTTATTCATGTTAGAAACACAATACAGTGGTGTAATTCACATAAGCTTCGTTTGAAACCGTTTCAGTTCAAAGCTCTTTACAATACTAATTGCTTATGTAATATGAAATAAATTTAAGTGTTCTCCAGTTTTATAAATAACAATGTTGGACACAATGTACGTTAATATAAATTGGTACGGATCTCGTTAGGTCAGGAATAAATAACAAATGTAGAGACAATTTAAGCTTATATGATGCAATTAAAATTTCGGGACTTATAAGTAAGGAATTATATCATGCCCCAAACTAAATGAAAGCAATCTTTGCTTGCGATTACCATCGATTTCAAGCAAATATCAACCAGTGTATCTAAGAGGGAAAACTTTAGTCACTATAATTAAGGAAAGAAGCTTTACTTCAGGGCTTGTCAATCTACAGAAAACAACAGTATTCATTGGTTTATCTGTAACCCTTGGTATCTAGAAATTCCTGGAAGCATACCTAGTTTCCTAACAGTGTAAGTAATCATCCAGTCAGAGTATAATACATAATCCATCAGTGCTCGGGAAGTTTCCGAGGCGTGTGCTGGTTAAGAAGAAATAATCTTAGCACTTTTCTGACTACTTAAGATTCTATAGGGAAATCGCACCAATATAGATCTATCCTTTTGGACTAGATAAGGGCATACAGTCTAATACCTTGACTAAGTACATAAATGGCATCTTTTAGTAATTTAACTTGTTTAAAATCTCTTAACGTTTGTCCCTGAGAATTCCTGTGAGTACATGCACTTAATATGTTTAAACCAAACTTCCTTAATCAATCGTAACTATCATTTTCATTTAATTTGATCTTTCATCATTTTATTGGTTATTAATTATTGATTGATTCGATCTGTTTCTTTTCTGTATTTCTATTGATTATGTAATAGATGATTAGACAACCCTATTGATAGAATTTAATGTCTCAATAAGTTGATTACTGATATCTCTTACCTTTAGGTTATATGACAAACAGAGACTGTGATTTAGAGCCGGGTTTCATGCTACTTGGCACTCGTCAGCAAGGTGTACCTGTAATCTTGAGGGGACTGGTGCTCCCTGGCGGACTCGACCTCGTGTCATCCAGCTCCACAGTCAGAGACGTTACCACTGAGCTATTCGAGCCGTGACTAACCTCCTGTAGGACTGAGATGTAATCACAATTGATTGATCACCACCCAGTGATCAATCAATTGTGAAAGAGAGACTGTTTTATTATAAATAATCAATTGTTACAGTTTTCTCACAGGATCTTATGCTTCATAGTTACTATTGTTCTGATGATGATTTCTCCACTTAACTAAGAGTGATAGTGAAAATTCTGTATACATGAAAAGATTGCATTTAAACAAAAGGTAATTTTAAATAAGAAATTAGTATAAATGAATTTTAAGCTTAATAGTAAATGGTTCTCTGGGACGACATTCGTGTTCTACGAATGTCGACTCTTACGGGGGGGGGTCATGAATGCACTCTGCTGGGGAGTCCTATGCTAGGACAAGACGGCCATCCAGGGCCTCCAGGTTTTCTATGGTGGTCTAGCTTCAACTGACTCATTATTTCAACTATTTATATTATTATTATTAAAGTGTATTCAGTCAATTAATTGTTGAATCAATGGACCATTTCATTTACTTCAATATCAATATTCTCATTAGTGTAAATGATTATTAAATAATAATCTCCACCTTTATCAGTTGGGTTGTTTGTTTGTTTGTTTAGATAACATGTATTTCCGGTAGTGTATTTAAATAATAAGCATCAATTCAATTAAATTTGATAATGCGATTCTCTATTGTATTGTAATATGGAAATGTATAACTTCCTGTATCACAAAAGTCGCCATAATTACAGTGTATATATTCATGCAATTAGTTGTATTCATATTATATTACATTGGAAATATTGTACTATAATCAGATCAATCTGTACAAGGAATGTGAAATAGTTAATTCTTCTGTTTTAATGATATTCTGATTGATATGTATATCATTGTTCTGAGTTATTTAATTAGTAGTAGTTTTGTGTGTGTGTGTGTGTGTGGCTTAAATGGAATGCTTTATCAATTAATTTATTGATGAACTTCAATGGTTCTTAATGGGATTGTAGTGACCTACTTTTATCAAGGGAACGCGATTGGTTTAATGGAAACAATTATTATTATAACCAAATTGTACCAGTGATTGTTTTACTGTACTTGTTTTGAGATGGTGGAGAAGATTTGTAGCTCAGGTGGATGATTTTGATGGAGTTTTGTTCTCTGAGCTGGATGGTTTGGTCGTGGAGCTTTCATCGTTCTTCTGAACGACTATCCTACACTTGTTGGTAGAACATGCTGGCGAAGACACTCATGGAGAAAATATAGTTGTTCTCGAGTGGAAGCCTGCCTTTTGGCGAAATTCTCCCATTTTCGAACAACGAGAAGCGTATTACGCTCATATGATTTTGAGATGGTGGAGAAGATTTGTAGCTCAGGTGGATGATTTTGATGGAGTTTTGTTCTCTGAGCTGGATGGTTTGGTCGTGGAGCTTTCATCGTTCTTCTGAACGATGTCGTTCAGAAAAAAAAACTGTACTTGTTTGTTTAACTGTACTAAAAACATCCATTACTCCCCCATTATTCTTCCGTTGATTGTGACCTTGTACGCTCACACGTTCGCCCACTGATTCCACTTGTATTTCCTTTGACACGATCTCAGTATACTTTCGATACCACGAGATCACCAACGAAGAAATCTGGTTACAATCTCCTTTCGCCTTCTGATTTTCTGGTACGCGCTCATCTTGCAGTGGTGATCATAGTCAAACACGACTCGACCCCACACTACAGGATCATGAGGATGTAGAGCAAATATTCATTCGGTCAGATTGTAAATGATATAAACAAACGATTTATTACAAAAAGTCCAGATAAAGATTTAGAGCTAGGAACTGGAATTATAAGTTCGGGTTAGTATTTTGGATTATTAGTTTATGTCTACTTATTTAAATACGCCTGTTACACTCAATAGAGGATAGGCCGCCGATCAACATTCTCCAACCCACTCTGTCCTCGGCCTTCCTTTCTAATTCTATACAATTGTTCATTCTTCTCATATCTGTCTCCATTTCTCGGCGTAATTTGTTCTTTGGTCTTCCTCTTCGTTGCTTCAGCTTGAGGATTCCATGTGAGGGCTTTCCTTGTGATGCATTTGGGTGCTTTCCTCATTATGTGCCGTATCCGCTTCCAGCACGTCTTCTTTATTTCCTCCTCCCCTTGGATCTGGTTTGTTCTCTTCCTTAGTAGGTTGTTGCTAATAGTGTCTGGTCAACGGATCTGAAGTATTTTGCGTAGACAACTGTTAATAAACACCTGTATCTTCTGGATGATGGCTTTCGTAGTTCTCCAGGTTTCTGCCCCATACAGTAGAATTGTCTTGACATTTGTATTGAAAAGTTCTGACCTTGTTGTTAGTTGACAGATGTTTTGACTTCCAGATGTTCCTCAGTTGTAAATATGCTGCTGTTGCTATGCCGATGCACGCCTTCACATCTGCATCAGATCCACCGTGCTCATCAATCATGCTGACCAGATATGTAAATGTTTTTACATCTTGTAAAGCTTCTCCGTGAAGTGTGATTTGATTGGTGGATGTTAAGTATCGGAGAATCTTGCTTTTCCCTTTGTGTATGATGAGACCTATTGTTGATTTTGTGTGTAGATTTAAAATTTTACTCATGTTTTTTGAGTGAGTATTAGGAATAAGAGTTACGGTTAAAGTTTATGATTAAAAAGAGTTTTCACTACCAGATAGCAGTATTGGGTAGGAATAGAGTGGTAAATTGCCTCTTAGTTAAATTAATAAATAATTCTGAAATTAATCCTTTAATTGTATATTTGTTTTTCCTTCAAAATCATGTTCCCTACATTCTACTCTTCCTATCTTAAGTGTAAGCGTCTTTAACTAAAATTTAATTTCTAATGAGATATCAGAAACCCATTGTCACCTTTTGAATTTCACGAGAAATGCTAATAAATGCCATTTTGAATCTGATAGGTCTGTCGGTAAACTATACTTATCCCCAATTTCCTTGCTTCGATTCTTTCTGGGTGTATTACTTTACACTACTGAATAATACTCAGTAGTTTGTGTATGTCTACACTCTGTCTAAAACTTGTACAATACACCTTGAATAGTGTTTCTTCTTTCTTGTATATGCTAATCCTTGAACAGTTTGTCTCAT